AGGACCCCAGGGCGGAAGTCTTGAGCGGATCCGGAAACTAAATGGTGACCTGAGCAGGAGACGGCAATCTGAGCTGGTGATCTTCATTCCGACGACATTGACTGGCCTTGGTCACCAGTCACCGCTTTGGGGATGTCGTTTTCGTGGGTGTAGGTCACCACCGGAACGGCCTTTTGCTGGGTTGAGTTGGTCTGTTGCCTCTGCTGAGCTGGACGTTGAGGCTGACTCGATGACTGGTTGTGGAGCATCGAGTGGTGGAGGCCCCCGCAATACTGACGCTTGGTCTTGGACCTGCAGTCCCTCACCGAGTGCCGACCAAGGCAATTGTAGCAGAGGTAGCGACGCTCTACTACCTCCCTACGAGCTGATACCGAAAGCTGACGGAAGGATGAGCAGGATGTGAGGTAATGATCTGCCTCATACATCGAGCACAGGTACGTGTCCTTCACCGATGGAGCGGACTTGAGAGCTGGCCTCGATTTTTGTGGTGGTTGAGCGGTGCCGTGGTGAACCTTCGCAGCGGTCGACTGCTTGGATGAGCTGACATTGGAGGGCTTTGTGGCAGGAGCACGAGGAACCGAGTTAATCTCGATGCTCTCCATCGCGCGAGCTCTCCCAGTGAGGAAATCCTTGAAGTCCTTGTATGAAGGATACTCCGCCGATGAACCGACCTTGACCTCCCAGGCTTCACGAAGCTTTGAGCTGAGCCGTTGCGAGACCTCATGTACGATCACCTGGTCCCACTGGGAGGTTGGGGAGCCGAGAACCTCCAGAGCGTTCAGTGCCTCAGAGGTGACAGTGAGCAGGGCATTGAGCTCTTTGGCACTGTGAGAAGTCATGGTTGGGGGAACAAAATACAGTGAATTTGTGACCACGTGCACGTGTTCCGCTCATTTCTTGGTTCTACTCATCCCACTCCCCGTAATCCGACTCCAACTCATCCATCCGCACAATTAATTCCCTGATCCAGGCATCTCATCAAACATTTTGGTCCTTCGAGCCGGATCGGTGGAATATTTTTCGGTTTTCGGTTTTTTTTGTTGGGTTTTGGCGGAAGTGGAAGTGACGCGGTCAGTGGTGCTCAACCTACGGGGACCAGCTCGTTGGCTCAGCGTACGCAGTGGACCTCAACCAGTCCAGCTCTCCAATCATC